TCTTACAGTAAGTGGATATAACTTTTTTTTTTTTTTACAATTTCTCTGAGCATTGCACAGTGGGACCTTAGGGTGCATTTGCTGGGTGTTCACTCCTGGAAAGATTGACAACTATCTGGAATGTTTTCCACTATTGAATAAGCTTTCTCACATGATGAATTATTGACTTTAAAATTCATGGTGAAATTTTGGTAACATTCTATAGAATAAACTGACCGGATTATGTGATTTGTTTAAGCACCTTTAGTTGAATGAAGACATAATTAAACATTTTCTTGAAAAAATAAAAGGTTCCCACTGGTATTACAGTAAGTATGTGCATTTTACTCTATGGACTGATATTAATAACTTCGTAGAGCCTTTATGTAATCTTTATGCATTCAGGTCACTATAGAAAAGCTCTTTGAAAAAAATAAATAAATATATATATATATATATATTTGAAATATATTATATTGCTTTAAAGAGTCATCAAATATTAGCTCTTAGATGCTGATTCATGTAAATTCATGACTGATTGATCAATAATTGATTATTTGCAGAATTAGTTTTATTTTTTTTACATAAAATATGAAAAGCAATGCACGGTAGAAATAAGTCAACATTCTGTATTTTGACTTACTGCGATCAGATCAAGAGATATTAAATTAGTTTGTCAGAATTTTTTTACCAGGGCAAGTTATGCATCATTTGTCTTAGTATTGCATTCCCTCTTACCTTTTTAGGCTAGTTCTATTTGATACACTGACACATTGTAAATAACAAAGGATTCTTGTTTCCAGTTTTGGGTCCACTATAAATTGGTTGTATCCAAAGCAACAAAGGGGAGCCACTACATAATCAGGAGAATATGAATTGATTTTTAAACTTCAATCAACATTTTTCTTTTACATTTATATCTTGAAACTTTTTATTATTTTCAATGCAAAAACAATATTTTTAAGCAAACACAAACACATGTTTAATAAAAGTAAAACCATCCATTTAAATGCAATGTGGAATTTGTAAATATACTGAACAAAATTATAAACACTTTTGTTTTTGCCCCCATTTTTCATGGGCTGAACTCAAAGATCTAAGACTTTTTTTATGTACACAAAAGGCCTATTTCTCTCAAATATTATTAAAAAATTTGTTGAAATCTGTGTTAGTGAGCACTTCTCCTTTTGTCGAGATTATCCATCCACCTCACAGGTGTGGCATATCAAGATGCTGATTAGACAGCATGATTATTGCACAGGTGTGCCTTAGGCTGGCCACAATAAAAAGCTTTCTGTAAAATTATATAGTGAGGAAAATTGCAGAGATAGTTACCACAGAATGCTATTTGTTGCATCTCATCCCAGATCTGGAATTATTTCCATCTAATGCAACCCATCTGAATATCTTTATAGCAGCAAAAGTCAGTATTGCTTTCCACAACACAGAAAAAGCGCAGTAGCTCTTTCTATTTCTGAGTTATTGAAAAGGGTTGAAACCACCTTTCTACATGAGAACGTTCAGAATCAATGGAGGGACTAAGAACCTATTCATGATCAATATTTTAAGTGAGCAGAAGCATGCAACAGAAGTCTATTTTCTTTTACAGTCTCTACAAATCTTCAATATTCTCCTCCTTACTCTTCTTCTTATTCACCTACAACATCCAATTAATGGTACAGAATGTTGTTATATGTTGACCGAGTTTATAGCTCCTTAAGCCATTACACTCCTAAAAGTACTTGAGAGTGGTTTTGGATCACAAACCACAGATGTGACTAATTACAAAATGTTACATACTATTGTTTATTAATGGGAATGCAATTGTTACATGGCTCCACAGTTTTGTTATGAGTAATGGATCCCGCTGTTATGAAAGTTGTATATCTTTTTACTGCTTAATTACATGCTGACACATGCTGACACTTAATACTATATTGCATCATGCGATACTAATAGATATGCACACTCAAATTGCAAACAATTTACAAATTAAATGACAGTATTATTTTTTTTTTAAATTAATTAAATTAATAAGTGACGTGAATAGCTGTAGTTATCAAAAAGGTTCTACAGGGTTATGCATAATATGGGGGCTTAGGCCCTAGCGTACTCTAAGTGGAGTGGTCTGTCAGGGCTATGGAAGTGATTGGTCCTGTGTCTCCTATGCCGGCTGGATTGTGGCCTCTGTGTGGGCATCATTACGCTCTTTAAGTCATGTAGGAGGTCACTGTTAGGGGATAGCATAGTGTATAGGTTGGGGACTGCGCAAATTCCGGAGCGCTTGTTTGGGTTGGTGCGACGTCAATATCTGGGTGGTTAGCTGGGTCATAAAGATTTAACGCCTCTGAGTGTAGCTTGAGGGGGTTTGGGATTGTCTTAGGGTGCAGAGGCGGGGGGGGGGAGATTATGGGTTCTCTGTTGTTGGGCCATATTGGCCCCCGTCAGTGGCTATTAGGGTGTGTTGGCTATACAGGCATCGTGAACTTAAACATATAAGCAAGAACAGGTTGAACTAATAAAGCAAGTAATTAAAATTATAAAAATATATAAACGATCTGCTCAGGTGGCTTCTGTGGCACGTCCATCCGCCGGGATAAAGGGGGTGATTCTTGCTGGGTCCCAGACATGCGATGGCTTGGTGGCCCCTTTTGTGCTAGTTCCGGTAAGTGAGTCCTTCGGGAGACCCAGCGTTGCCAACATGGCAGCTGCTTCATCCATATCTCGGATCTCGTGAGTGATGTTTCCCTGAGTGATTTGTAGTTTCCGAGGGGTACGCCATCTATACGGAATGTCACCGTTTCTGAGTGCTGTTGTGAAGGGTCGCAGGGAGTGTCTCCATTTGAGTGTGTCCCCTGAAAGGTCATTATAAAACGTCAGCGACATATTTTCGAAACGATAAGGCGATAGTCCTTTTAGTGCCGCCATTATTGCTGCCTTATCTCTGTTGCAGGTTAGTTGTACCACTATGTCTCCAGTGGTGGTTGCAGGTGCTTGATGTGGCTTTGGGATTCTAAAAGTCCCATCAATGTGGACATTCTTGGCCTGTTTGGGGGTCATTAGGGCGCAGAGCAGTCTCCGCATCATGTGCGGTAGTTCCCCTGCCGGGATTTCGTCCGGAACCCCTCGTACTTTGATGTTGTTTCGGCGTCGTGCATCTTCCATGAGGGCAAACCTCTGTTCGAAGGTTGTCTGCTGCTTTTGAAGGCGCCGTATTTCCTTCCCCAGTGAGGTGATCTGTGTGGATTGTTGAGTGGCCGTTGTTTCCACAGTCTCAATGCGTCCCACTAGGCCCAGGATTTCAGAGCGCATAGAGGCCATGTCGGCCTGTAGTGTTTTCTGGAGGCCTGCTAGTAATTCCTTTAGGGTGGCCGTTGTCACAGGCTGGGTGTCAGCACTCTGAGGTAGAGCTTGGGTATGATAGGGATGTGGCATGGAGGGTGACTCCTCGTCCAGAAGTGATTCACCTGAGGAATCCGTGAAGTCTGCATAGTCGGCGGCCATCTTGGGTCCGCTCGCGCCATGCGCTCGTCGCAGGAGTTCCCCAATGTGCATATTCATTTTGGGCTTATCTGGCTTAAGCTTCTTACTTTTGCGCCCCATAGGTAAGCCTGCCACTGTTTTTAGGTCTCTGTGGGTGTTTTTCGTTAGAAGTTGCTCGGTTTCACACGGAGCCCATGTAATGTGCGTCCGATGTGTGAAAATGACAGTATTATTATACAGTTAAATACGATATAGCATTTCTATGTGCAATGTATACTATGTGGAATTTATACTCTGTGTTGTATGAGCATTATACCATGCCCCATGTACCATATGCTATATTTGCATAAACTTGTTTTGTTCATTGTTCATTTTAAAAATAATAAAAACTATATATTGATAAGAAAGTTCCTAATGGCATTTTCCTTCTTGGGCTTGTTGGTCACCAGGGACACTTAGGATACATAAAAATAAAAGAAAAACTCCAATAGTGTAATAAGTGCACAAAAAAATTATAAAAGAGTCAAAGAATTCCAGTCTACTCACATGTCCTAGAGTTAACCCGCTCTTCTATATTTTGCACGCAGTGGTATTGATCCCCCACTTATAGAATATTGATGGAAAGTAGAAGTTGTCACCGGATGAGTACAGGACTGAAAATAGAAATAAAGAAGCAACAAGGCATTTTTTTTGCCAAGGCATTTGATACAGTTCCACACAATAGATTAGTGTTCAAACTCAAGGAAATCGGTCTAGATGAAAATGCTTGTTCTTGGGTAGAACATTGGCTTAAAAACAGAGTACAAAGAGTTGTCATTAATGGTAAATTTTCAAGCTGGACAGAGGTGGCAAGTGGTGTCCCTCAGGGGTCTGTTCTGGGACCCCTTCTATTTAACATGTTTATAAATGATCTTGAAGACCGCATTGAAAGTCATGTTTCAGTGTTTGCAGATGACACCAAACTTTGTAAAACAATACAATGTGAGCAAGATATTACTTTGCTGCAGAGGGACTTAGATAGACTGGGGGACTGGGCACTCAAATGGCAGATGAAATTTAATGTTGAAAAATGCAAAGTTATGCACTTCGGCGTAAAGAATACACAAGCAACGTATACCCTTAATGGAAGCGAATTAGGGATAACAACACATGAAAAGGACTTGGGAATTGTTATAGACAACAAACTATGCAACAATGTGCAATGTCAATCAGCAGTGGCCAAGGCCAGTAAGGTATTGTCATGCATGAAAAGGGCATTCATTCTCGGGACGAGAATATCATTTTGCCTCTTTATAAATCACTGGTAAGACCCCATATTGAATATGCTGTGCAATTTTGGGCACCTGTTCTAAAGAAGGATATTATGGCACTAGAAAAAGTGCAGAGGCGGGCTACAAAATTAATAAAAGGAATGGAACATATCAGCTATGAAGAAAGGTTAACAAATTTAAACCTATTTAGTTTAGAAAAACGTCGCCTGAGAGGGGATATGATAACATTATACAAATATATTCGTGGCCAATACAAACCATTGTGTGGAAATCTATTCACAAACCGGACTTTACATAGGACACGAGGCCATGAGTTTAGACTGGAAGAAAGAAGATTTCGTCTAAGGCAAAGGAAAGGTTTTTTTACTGTAAGAACAATCAGAATGTGGAATTCTCTGCCTGAGGAAGTGGTTTTATCAGAGTCCATACAGATGTTCAAACGGCTACTAGATGCATACTTGCAAGAACAGAATATTCAAGGATATAATCTTTCAATGTAGGGTAATAACTGCTTGATCCAAGGATAAATCTGACTGCCATTCTGGGGTCAAGAAGGAATTTTTTTCCTAGTTTGTTGCAAAATTGTGCTTCCAGCTGGGTTTTCTTGCCTTCTTTTGGATCAACAGCAAAAAACAATAGTGAGGTAGGCTGAACTCGATGGACGCAAGTCTCTTTTCAGCTATGTATCTATGTAACTATGTAACAATAGTGCTTACTGTGTTAAAAAGGAGTAATACAAAGCAAAACACTCTCACATATTCCTGAGCAAGTAACACTTGAGATTTTTGATGAGATCCTCACTGAAGGAAAAACAGGATGCCAGGTAGTAGAAAATTATAAAAATAATAAAAGGTTTATGGCACAATATAGAGTTAAAATAGCCAATATTATACTGCCGGACCTTCTCTGATACTCCTATGGACTCCTGCCAAGCATCCAATTGCCTGACTGCAACCCTTTTGACAACTGGGGTGACCTGGGCCAGCAGCTGTGACTGCCCAATCTTACTCTAATGGACTGGACCCCATGTGGGATTGTATCGGCTACCAATGCTTCCCCATGCCTGCCCGCTCCCCTCCCTCACACATGGTTGGGTGGACCTGGGCGACTTAGCCGAATGTAAGCACTTCCATGATGTTGATTTGGGTTCACCTCTACTATCCCAACTATGCGCGCTATAGAGTGCCTCCTGTCCCATGCTGATTGAGTGCTGAAACTGACCTGGGGCTGATGTGGTGTGTAAGGTGGGTGCCCCGGGGGCTGGCCAGAGTTTGCGGTCCTTGGGCCGTTGTCCAATGCCTGGAGGGCCAAAATACGCTTACTGCACCTTGACGCACACAGGGTATACGTGGGATGCGGAGCCATACTTGGTCCGGGACTGGCCTTATTTCTCAGGTGTGGTGATTATGTGATTGTTAACCCCGCCCCCCCTCTATTTTCATTGTTACGTACATGTTCACATTCATGTGCACATGAATACGTTTATTATGCTGCATTTGTGTGAGCTGTGCCCTTGAGCCTTGCACACTGTAATTACTCCTTCTTGCCTTTCCTTAGACTTCCTGGTCACTCACGCAAAGGACTCACTGTATATTTCATCAGTTGGAGGATGTGGAAAGAGACCCCAGGGCTTGTGCACCCCTGCCCAACAACCCTCAATTTTGTTTGCCTTACATTATTCTATTTGTGTTTTCTCTCCCCCCTCTCTGACCTCTCTCTTTAGCCCTCCTTTCCCTACGCCCATGTCAGAACTTTCCTATCGGCTTCTCCAATATCCAACACTTCCGGGTTCACGGACCAATAACACCCCCCCTTCTCTGACGCGGTTTCCTCACGCTACTTAGAAGAACCGCGCCAGATTCGAAGTGCTTGGTTATTTTGAAGCTTCTTATCTTCAGACCGGCTACAAGCAATCTCTCGTTATACTAATTACACGTGTACCAAACGTTTATATTGCTGACCTCTTTTCTCCAATACTTTGACTTCGGATTTCCTTTGGAATCTTCCAGCTTCGTAAAACCTCCAAGTAACGGCAAGTTATATTGGATTAATTCCTTACTACTGACACCTCTATTTCTCTTTGTGCCTCCTGAGTTCTGTTCATTAGAAAGCTATCATTATATTCCATACAGGAACTCATCTCATTCCTTAAGCTGTAGGAACTTATTTTGTTAGACTGTCTTCATTCCTTAAAGCTACACTCATCTCATATCTTCATATAGTATTCCTTAAAGCTTCAGGAACTCATCTCATCAAACTACCTTCATTACTTAAAGTGTAAGGAACTCACTTCATCGAATTGTCTTCATATTGTATTCCTTAAAGTTACAGGAACTCATCATATCACTTAATCTGCATGTCTTGTTCCTTAAAGCTACAGGAATTATTTTCATATAACTATATCTATATTGTATTCCTTAAAGCTACAGGAACCCTTCTTCTCAAACTATCATCATATTGTTCCCTTAAAGCTACAGGAACTCTACTCTTCAAACTTTCTACATGTCGTGTTCCTTAAGACTACAGAAACCCTTCTCATTGAATTCATCTCATCAAGTTATATTCATATTGTATTCTTCAAGTAACAGGAATTGTTCCAACAATCACTTCTAAATAAACCTTATTGAAGAACTAATCTTTCTTTACTAATTATTAATCTAAAAAACCTAAAAGGTTTTCTTAACTTTAATTCTGCAGTTGAGTTCCACTCCAAATCCATAGAAAGCTTAACAGCCCCTCCCCCTCATTTTTTTATTTTCCCTTCTCTCTCCTCTTCCTTCTTCTCTCTTCCCCCTGCCCCATCTCTCCCCCTCCCTGTGCCAAGATGAGTTTTCAACCCGTCCCCTTCAAGCTCTGTTCTAATAACATTTGTGGCCTTAACGACGATCCAAGTTGCTGCGCACTCTATGGGCCGCGACAACCTCCATAGCCTTCTCACAAGAAACACACTTTAGTGAGGGCGCTGCCCCAGTGCTTATGTTTCTTTTTGTTAACGGCACCATTGCTGGCTGCCTGTACACGTTCGCCTGCATATACTGCCCTAAGCACAGACAATGTGCCTTTCTAACTAGGGCCCTCTATTTTATCTCTCTGAGAGATCCTTCTAGTTCCTGCTCAATCTGCCCCTTGATCCTCACATGGACTCCTCCAGAGGGACCAGCACATCATCACCACACTGTATTCGCTCAGCTCAGGTAGCCCTGCGTAGATTGGGTTTGGTGGACAGCTGGAGGGTGACGCATCCTGAAGATAAAGACTATACATTTTACTCCTTTGTCCACAAACAATAAAGCCACATTGGCTATGTATTTGTGGCACAGGAATATCTCTCATGCCTAATGTGCAGCGACATGTGGATGTTTGGTACCTCTGATCATGCCCCAGTTTTGGCACAGTTCAAATCACCTCTGTTCAAACCCTCCGACGGAACCTAAACTTCCTGGCGATCCCTGATGACGTTACACAGACTAAACAGGTGCTTACTCAATACTTTTAGTCCAACACTAACCCTGAAGTACCACCCTGACAGTATGGGAAGCTCATAAGTCCATAATTAGAGGGCATTACATCAGCGTATGCTCCCAATGAAAGAAAGACCAACCTACCTATACTCAGTTCTCCAGCACATAGGACTAGGCCAGCACATGAGGTCCTGGGTTTCATTCCTTTATACCACCCCCCTTTACATGCATCAGTCTCACCCATACACTGTCAGGAGTGATACCTGCGCTGGGTGCCCCCTCTTGTTTGCCCTTTCTCTGGAACTGTTTCTGGAGACAGTAAGATGGGATGGTGGTTATACAGGGTTCACATGGGGCCGAAAGGAACACCATGTTGCGGCATATGTCGATGACATGATCTTTTTCATAGAGTCGCCAGCGATTACCTTGCCCAATCTTCTAGCCATCTTCTCCCAATTCGGCTCACTATCAAACGTTAAATTGAACATGGAAAAATCAGATGCCTTTGGACTGACACTCCCACCAGGCATAGAGGCACACCTCTGCTCCCAATTCGCTCTCTCCTGGCATACGGAAAAACTGCTATACTTTGGTACTCCCTAAACACCTCCTGCAGCTGCATGCTCTGAACTTCCTTTCCATCCTCTCCAACCTCCAAACAGACATGAGACGATAGTCTGACCTCTATATTTCATAGTTAGGACGTATTGACACAGTAAAAATGAACATCCTTCCATGCCTTTTCCCATCTGGAGCTTCATATGGAATTAAGAAAAACTTCTAGACTCCACAAATCCCTACTGACCAACTGGGGTATGGGTCTTGCATCAATTATCACGTACTACCAAGCCGCACACCTACTTCGATTAGCAGACTAGCACGTGCATTCATCACCTAAATTGTGGGTGGCAATGGATCTTCAGCAAGAGGGAGGAACAATCCCCCGACAAGCTCTGGCTAGGGGGCACCACACGCCTTTTTACGCACAGAGAACCCAATGATTGATGCCACCCTACAGGTGTGGGGCTCCCTTCGATACTCACACCAGCTGACCACTGTCCCTGGCCCACTAACCCCAATCACAAATAAAGCTAATAAGACCTACAGGGCTTTCCGTTCACTGACTGGACATACAGAAGTCAATGGTGTGATGAGGACAAGCACAAACCACTGGTAGACTTGCTACTCAGGGATAACTCGTCAGGTATACAACAAGTCCGTTACCACCAGGTCAAAAGATACTACACTTTATTACATAGGTCCCTCACCCAGTTTAAAAACACTTTGTACCTCATGGTCACATATCTCCAGGAGAATTTCCACACTGCACATCATGCTTCTACTGGGAGGAGACATGCACATCACGCTTCTACTGGGAGAACTAGACAAGACATCAAATCACATACTTGAAGGAGTACCTCACCCAGCTACCTGAAGCCTTGGCCCATGAGCTGTCATTCCCATTATCTTGCCATTCTGTGTGACCAACAGCATTGTGGGATAACCCCAATGATGTGTGACACAATTATTCCAAAGTGTCCCTGTTATCTGTTGGAAAGAATTCTGTTTTCATAGTGAAGCTGCATAGAGTACTATAGTACAAAAGTACTATAAGCCCACTACACTTTTTTATGAGAGTGGGATGTATGATTGTTTATATGATAAGCCCTTTATTTTCATATTGGGACAAAAAGTCACTTCATTCAAAACGTCAAACACCACATTCTTTCTGCCCTGTGTGTTTGTTGCAGAGAATTTGTGTTGTAAATTTAGAAGAGAGCAAAATGTATATTTTCAGCGTTCCAACACATGCTTTATATTGTGCTGTAAGCTAACTTGTAGTATCCCAGTACGTCACATGTCGTATGTGCTTTAAATTGTATGTATTCTGTAAATTATTGTATGGGGTTGCTGAGATTTTATTGCTTGTGACCCAAACTGTGCAGAAGTGGGTTTGAAATTTTGGTCTTGGAATGTAGGATCAGAAAACCATGGACAAAGGTTTTTACCTGTGTTGACATGACTTTTGGAAACTCAAATTGACCGGTCAAAATTTTGCCATGCCTTTAACATGGAGTAGTATAAATATTTTGAGTTCTGACAAATGCAGGTGATACCATGTCTGTGTAATCTGGTCCAAATGTTCTAGAAGCGTATAAGAGAGAAATTCCATTGACAGGGTACATATGTCTCAACTGGTTAATGCAAGTGTTATACAAATGTTTAAGTCAAACGCGTTATATGGCCGTACGGGATCCCTTCTTTAAAAAGAAAAAATAAACCCTTTGGTACCAGAAATCTTAAATAAATCTGATACAAACTAAAATTGGTATACCTTACAATAATATGTTCTGAATACAGCTGTTAGAAGTTTATTCTGTGTAAATGGTGATTGTCATAAATGTTTGTTTTGGTTACTCATTTTGAAGTATGCAGTTTAATTGTCATGTATGTTAATGAGTATTTTGCTGTGTTATTTTAAATTATATTTGAATAAGTTTGTCTCAGTATTGATACAGATGAAAATGGCAGCGTAATAATCTATTAAATAACTGATTTATTATTGAATACTAGTCCAAGAGCAATATGAGTTGTAGTCTTAAGAAAGAAAAAAAAAAAGGGGGGAGTCTGTTTTTGTAAATTTTAGCTGATTTCCAAAATTCTGTTGCAATAATGGACTTCCTGTCAAAATTTGACTTTCCTGTCCAGTTGCCAGGTGCTCTGATCTAATCTTAAAGTAGTACTGCTTGCATAGTTTGCAGACATGCATAATGCACAAACATGGGAACCTATATTATCTCTGTCACAGAGTGTGACATTTATTAATTTATTTTGGATTAATATGCTTTTTGTATTGGCATGTCTGCTGGATATCTGCTACATGTTTTCTGTGCTATAAGATGATGTGTGATATTACAATGAGTATGAAGAATATTTAAAGAATATTTGCATGTCATTAACGCAAGCCTTTAGAGTCTTTTTACAACAGATTAAAAAAAAAAAACGCTGATCAGCCAACAAGAAAGGGGCCCCTGGGAAAGAAAAAGAAAAAATATATAATTTGCTTTTCAAAATCGTGGATCCACGTTTCAGTATTATTAGGGGAGTATTTAGAGTTAACTCTACTTTTAAAGTGCATTGCATTATTTAAGAAAAAGAAAAATTTGTTATCTTTAACAAACAATTGTTATGTTATATGGTTATATAACAAAAAAAAAAAAAAATATGGATGTATAGGAAAGGTTTTTTCCAAGATTAAGATTCATCTAGTATGCCTCATTGATTATAGGAAAATGATGAAATGGTATTTTTAATAGAGATCAGATAATTTCTTTTGAGGCAATTCTTAACTACTGTATTATATTTGTATTGGTATATTGAAAGCATTTTGCAGACCCAGAAGAGAATAAATAATATAATAATTATAAAAGGAACCATACTATGGGAAGAGGTCACCATATAAAATTGCTAAGGGGTTAAACTCATTTTTGATAAGCATATAAAATTTAGTTTTTGTGGTAAGAATTTTTGATACTCAATTTGAACTCAATTGAAGTATTACAACCATATCCTTGCAGGTATAGGAAAGAGCTGCAATATGATTTTAATATTTGCAATATATTAGTGTTTTCAATGTATTCTGACAATGGAAAAGTTCCTAACCACATGTCTGTATTACACCTATGACCCAGACTGTCAGTATTGCAAACCCTATATGAAGACTCTGCTATCACTGTTTATGTATACACCCCTAGACGACCGTGCTATACATGCACAATAAATCTTATTTATATTATATCTGTGTGGTACACAAAGAGGTGTACACAAAGAGGGGGTGTGAGTTAGGTCATCTCGACCTTCATATGGAATATGCTTCCTCCTTGTTCACTTTTGGTCAAACTGTTGGTCTGTGACTGGCCCTCTTTGACCCCAACTGAATTTCTTGGGAAGATTCATGAGAAAGATACAGCAGGTTGTTTTGATATAAAGAAAGAGGGAAAAGTATGTTGTATCGGTCACAAAAGGATTGTGATCTTAAGCAGGCGAGACAAGGACATTTTGGAGGTGATAGGAGATTGAATCAGAAAAGTTTCAGAGGCAGAGGTAGAGAATTTGATCAAAGGATCTAACCTTTGTAGAGGTGGTAACTTCAGCACTGTTTTAATTATGGATAGCAGGGATTCACCCAAAGGTGCTTGTGGTGAACCCGGTTCTCCTGGTCAACCTGGCCCAGCTGGCATTCAAGTACTCCCACCCTGGCAGGTTCCTCAATACCAACCACAACTTTCAAGCTATACCCACACCCAACAACCTCAGCCTAATACACAGATGGTTCATGTTTTTAATACTTTATATATAGTTTTGATAGATAAAACAGTATTAATGCTGGCTCTTAGAGGATGTACAAGCTGAAGTTGGGACCTAGACATTGTTTGCATAGGCTGTGCAATGTGAAATAACTAAAATAAAATAGGATAATAAGTATGCTTAGTCAATTTGTAAAGTGGTATAATAGAGGCATCTGCAATAAAATAAGTGGGTTTCCAAGACCTGACAAGTGAGAGCAACTTAATATAACATATGTCTACAGTTTGCTGTCCCTTCCTCATCAGAGGCCACTTGCAACACAGCAAGACAACTCTTCCGAAACCTGTATTAAACAAAGCACTTTAGAACAATAGTAATTTATTTTGTTTCTCCTATTTCATTCCAAGTTGTTCTGAAAAAAATATATATTGTTTAAGTGGGATAACTGTATGGAGGTTCCAACATGTATTAAAACATGATCACACACATTCAGAACTGGTGGCTTTTTGGACATCGGGATCTATAAAAGGTTTCGGTTTCCAAAGATGTTATCAGGGTCCACAAAACTGACAGACTTCAGCATTTCAATTTTAATAAAGTAATTAAGTGAATCAAATCAAGGTTTAAGTTTAAGAACAGCATTTTATTGGGAATTATACCAATATGTATATGTTAGTGTTTTAGTACTCAACAAGCATTTATATAGAATGAGTGCTTCTCTCATCCATACAAAGGCATTCTAAAGGGAAATTATGTATTAAAATTTTATAAAGGACAAATTCAATGAATTATAAGCAAAACTGAGAGAAGTACATGTTACACTAGTTAAGAGTTTAACTTTAGTTTCTAATTTGAGTTTAGCCTAGATAATTAATTTATTGATGTCATACTGATCCTTGTGTTTGTATGATTATAGAGACCGTACTGGAGTATTTGTGCTGCCTGATATTTGGGACTACACACCAATCTCTCTGGTTGACCTACCTGCCTACTTACCTTTTTTGCAATTAAATCTGTTTGGTCAAAAACCATGCTGGCCGAAGAAACTGAGATGCTTACTTATGAGGGCATAAACTAACTTGGAAAGTCCTGAAGATGCAGTGCTGTCTAATGCCACTATTTCTGTATTACCCTTTCAACAATTGGGGTGTTGCACAGAGTATTGTGGTGAACATCCAGCAAACAGAAGAATTAAAAACTATGTGGAAGCTGACATTGTATTGTTGTCAGCCATATTGCTACTCTTAGCTATGTTATGGTGTCTAAAATTATGGAACAAAGTTTATGGTGTCTAAGATTCTTTATACTCCTTGAAAGACTTATAATATTTTTCTGGACTATTGAACTATTTAGTTATTTTTATTTTTGGAGAGTTAGCCGGAGAGAGAGGAAGTGTTAGCTTACTCAGGCATGGATGTACTATGTGTGTCATTGATGTATGTTGAGTGTACCAAGGATGGATTCCCATGTATTAAGTGTGGATATGACTGGACCATCGAAATAGGGATTTGATTAGGAGGCATAGGACGCAAGGTCATGATTGGGATTATTGCTAGAATTGCAAACTGGTTAGAAATGATCTCATGATTTAATATGCAAGTGGGCCTTTTCAAACTAATCAAGAAGTGTTTCCCAATCCTGATACCAGAGCTATTTACTTACAAGTGCAGGTTTTATACGTCACTAATGCTGTTAACGTGAGGGGATGACATGTCTACACAGTCATGGCCCTCACTTAGAGTTTCCCCAGATGTGCTTTTTTCCTCAATTATGAGTTTTTGCCACTGGGTTTTTTGACCTGGCCCAAGTTCACTGGGTGGACTGGTAACCCAAGACCCTGGTCCAAAGAGGGGAAATAGATTGTATTCCCATTTTTGATTATATGTGTTTACGTTGTGAATTATAATAATAATATTCCTGTTGTTAGGAATAATACACTTTGCCTGTTTTGATCCAAGGCTCAAGTTACAGATAACATGATGTGCAGTATGTTTAAAATTGGTTAAGATGTCAGCTGTTTGAAATTTTTAACTTGTACACTTAAAAGATGTGTACAACAGATGATTACAGAAGCTGAAAATTGACAGCTCGATCTCCTCTTAAAAGGAAAACCTACGGCACAGAGCAAATGGGGGAAATCGAGGTGAAGAAATAATGAAAGTCCCGCAGACATGATTAGCACGTCTGAATATACCTCCTTTGGTTTCTCTGCCGCAGGCCTCCCATGGATATTCCGTAAGGTAGATCATGATATGATCTAAGAGGGGAATTGTAGATGCGAATATCCATTGTGCTTAATATCCTAGCTGTTCATATAAGGGTTAATTTGAACCAAGAATAAATTTGGAATTGTATCTCCAATTCTCGGAAATAAAACTTATATAAAACTTATCTATTTACGGGAAATGTTATTGGAACATGATTTTGTTATGTTCCTGGAAAAGGATATTTACATGACATGACATGACATGATAAGGATTCTGGAATGACCTTGTTAATTGTCCAAGATTTCGGTATTTGTAATCATCTGGGTTTTATCCAATATGCATACATTATGTAACACCAAATTATAACTAAAAACAACTTGTGAAAAATAAACTATGGCACAATGCTCAATGAACCCCACCGACATGAAAATGGGGTATAAATATAACTGACGTATCAATTAAAATTTGAATTGGTTATTGAACATGTCTCTGCTATTCATTTCCAATTTCCAGAGCTCTGAATGAGTTGGCAAATATCCATCATCCACAAAGGGCCCGGGCTGATTTTATCCCCAACACATACATTGCAATTGTGTTGTGTTTCAGGGATAAAAAAACTAAAAATCAGACAAGCAATCAAAGGCGCTGAAAGTGCTAATATAAAATATAAAGATAATAAAAGTGTAGCAGCACCTAAAAGTGTACAAGCTCATAAAACACCATACATAAAATCCAAAACAGAAATAGGTGCGCTGTACCATTAAATATTAAAAAGTTCAAATAGTGCAATAATTTGTGCAAAAACACAGAGTGTGTATACAATATAATCACATTCAGTGTGACATAAGTGCAAAATGCCAATGTGATGGTGTAAAAATTCAATATCCAAAACAAATAACTTACAAGGGAAATGGTATATCTCCTTAGATTCTCCAAATCACATAAGAGCATATGTAAAAAGAGATATAAAATGGAGAAACATAGTATAATATTGTTTTTACATAAATATAAAAACCAGCAATAAAAATAGGAGTATCACTCACAAAGAAAGAGCAGTAACAGCCTGCTCTAACTGATCCAGCTTTAAATCCAAAGACCAGGACTTCAATGTTGGTGCAAGTAGGCAGGACACCAGCTTTCAAAAGTAAAACAGCTTTATTGAAAATAAATAAAATCCACACTCTCCATTTCCATATAGCAGCCTAATAACCTTTTGCCAGTACTGTATTGTAAATATCTACCAGTCCCTGGTAACTTTCAGTACTGCAGGCTTCACTTCCTGGAACTCGGAGTTTCGTCCGGTCACGTGATGGCGTGATGACGTAATCGACGTGATGATGCGTTTCGCCCAATCGGCTTCCTCAGATCACATCATGATGTAGCTGGTCCTGCCTTTTAAAGCCTTGCACATTCTGCTGTTGCAAAGGATCAGTTCTTATGTTATGGTAATGTGTACAAAGCACACAGTAATGGTGTCTGTTGGTGTCATGGCCTCGGTATCTTAGGGAGCTTGCTGTTGAGCAGCATATCTGTGGTGACATTAGGGCCGGTGCAAGGAATTTTGCTGCTCTAGGCAAATAAAAAATGTTGCTGCTCCATTTGCTCCACAGTGGTCCTGTAGGTTGAACCCCAAAAGATAAAACATAGCCTTACCTTGAAGGGTTAGACAAGCGTCTAGTAGCTGTCACACTGACAGCCACTAGAAACACCTTCTCTACAATGCCATGTTTAACTACATGAAGCGTTGAAAGTGCAAGGCGATTGCCACTTATGCGCATCAAGTTCCCAATGCTCATGTATGAGGAACATTGTATTGGATCAGCATTGTACCATCAGTGGCGGGCTTGAATCTATATAGGGACATAGACACTCTAGTATTCGGAATACAGTTTTATATTCCTAACTCTATAATGTTACGCCAGAGTGACACACACACATATCCAAGCAGCCAAACACACTAATTCAAACACACAAACAGACAGACCTAAACAGACACACACAGACAGACCCAGGCAGACACACACACTGACAAGAGCATTTACACATTGATTCAGACACACACATACACACACACTGACAAAAGCACACACACACAGACCCAAGTACACACAAACAGGCTGACACATACACCCTGGCCCCTTGCAGCCTTGACTCTCTATTAGCTCTGCCCCCGCTATCCTCCTGCCCAGTTGACCCTGAGTACATGGCAATGGGCTGGAGCGATTGTATGAAATGCCCATGCGCTGCCTGCATGTGAGAGGTGTGTAAGCTGATATTTGCATGCTGAGGTTGAAGGCACCAGGTGCTAGTTTGCAGCTATGTAAGGGCTCCCACTGCGCATGGTGCCATGACCTCCAACACGCAATGTAAAATGTGTCCCACATAGAGGGGTGCTTCTTATTGGCGTCCCCTATTAAGAAGCACCCTAGGCGGTCACCTAATCGGCATACAGGACGCTCCAGCCTTGGGTGACAGCCGGTATTAGAGTTCTGAAGAATTTGTTTTAAAAAAGCAGGTAAATGTTCTGGCTTGATTTGGTCCTGCATATGAATAAGTCAGCAACTGGGCCTCCATCTGTTCTCCATCTATCCTCCATCATTTTAGTTTCCATCTGGGAGGCAGGCGTGCCCAGTGCGCTGATGTCTTTCCTGATATCGGCCACACTTTTATTCCAGGTATAAATAAGCTTGGTGGAGAATTCACCTGTGGAATTTGGTTCCTGTCACCCAAGGTCCAACTGCTATGTTGTTGCAGAATATGATTTTGGATAGGGGAAAAAAAAATGATTTTATCTGCTTTTCCCTGCTGTAATTTTGACTTAGGCTGCAACACTGTGATTTGGTGAGAATGGGTTCACAGTTTTCACTTTAAATTATTTCTCTATTGGAGCCTGTGTGTAGGAGTGAAATAGTACCCAGTCAAATTAATCAACTGGTAGCCACACCCTCAATGCATTTTATTAAACCTGAAAAGGGTGCTATGAAATTTCCCCCTCTGCATGGAGTGTTATGCAAAGATGGATTTTTCAAGTACGAGACAGAATGAATTTTAATAAGGGCTATTCCTAATAACAAAATTCTTCATCATAGATATCTTTAACTACATTCATTACAACCCATTTAACATACAGCTCTAACATTTCAATAACATTATTTAGAATAAACTGACTGTATTAGGTGATTTGTTCAAGCACATTTAGTCATAAATTAAAAGTTTATTTAGACATATTGCTTGTATTCTAAGGACTAAGAAAAGTTTTGTTTTTTACAGTAAGAGCAATAAGGATATGGAATCCTCTGCCTGAAGAGGTGGTTTTATCAGAGTCCATACAGATGTTTACTTTGTAATTGGATAAATACTTGCAAAAAATATATCATACAGGGATATCATTTCTAGTTAGTGGGGTAATAGCTGTATGATCCAAGGACATATCTGACTGACATTTTGGGGTCAAGAAGGAATTTATTCCTAGTTTGTTGCAAAATTGGAAGCGCTTCAGACTAGGTTTTTGGCCTTCTTTTGGATCAACAGCAAAACATATGTGAGGAAGGCTGAACTTGATGGACGCAAGTCTCTTTTCAGCTATGTAACTATGAGAAGACATAGTTAATATCTTGGAAAAATATTATTTTTCCCAGTGGTATTACAGTAAGTGTTTTACTCTATGGGCTGATGTTAATAACACTGTAGAGTCTTAAGATAGTCTCTATGTATTTAGATAACTATATAAAAACTCAGTCTGAAAAATAGTAAATGGCTTTCACCAAATCAGTCACCAAATGTTGTCTCTCAGGTGCGGATTCAAGTAAGTTTATGACTGATAGACCAATGATGCATTATTTACAGAATTATGTTTAATTATATGATCTAAAATCTGAATAGCAATTTATGGTAGAAGTAAGCCACAATTCAGCAGGGCCGTCTTTAACGCGGGGCAAACGGGGCAGCTGCCCCGGGCCCAGTTGTTCCTGGGGGCCCAGAGCAGCTGCTCTGTGGGCCCCGCGATTTGCGGCTCCCGCACACTGAGGAGGCTGCCCGGGTGGCCCATGCACTAAGGGCCACCCGGGGAGCATGTGTCAGGAGGGGCCCGGTCGGGCGCTGTGGCACTTAAACAGCGCGACCGGGCCCCTCTTCCGGTTCTGCAGCCGGCTGGGAGGAGTGACGTCACTTCCTCCCACCGGAGATAGCCGCGCGGGAGGAGGAAGGCAGGGAGGAGGGGAGTTCAAGAAGAGAACTCCCATCTGCCTCAGCCTGCCACTGGACCAGGGAAACCACCCTCAAGGAAAAGGTAAGAACCTGGAGGGTGGCTAAATGTATGCCAGTATGTCTGTGTGTGTGTGTCAGTATGTCTGTGTGTATGCCAGTATGTCTGTGTGTGTCAGTATGTCTGTGTGTATGCCAGTATGTCTGTGTGTGTCAGTATGTCTGTGTATGTCAGTATGTCTGTGTATGCCAGTACGTCTGGGTGTGTATGCCAGTATGTCTGTGTGTGTGTGTGTGTGTGTGTGTGTGTGTGTGTGTGTGTGTGTGTGTGTGTGTCAGTATGTCTGTGTGTATGCCAGTATGTCAGTGTGTGTGTATGTAGGTATGTCTCTGTGTGTGTGTGTACGTGTGTGTCAGTATGTCTGCCAGGATATATTTGTGTGTCAGTGTATGTGTGTGTCAGTATGTATCTGTGAATGTTTTAATGTCTGTCTGTGTGTGTATGTGCCAGTACGTCTGTCTGTGTGTCAGCATGTCTGTGTGTGTCAGTCAGTATGTCTGTCAGTGTATGTGTGTGTCAGTCAGTATGTCTGTCAGTGTATGTGTGTGTCAGTCAGTATGTCTGTCAGTGTATGTGTGTGTCAGTCAGTATGTCTGTCAGTGTATGTGTCTGTGTGTGTCAGTATGTCTGCCAGGATATATTTGTATGTCAGCGTATGTGTGTGTCAGTATATATCTGTGAATGTTTAATGTCTGTCTGTATCAGCCATTACGTCTTTCTGTGTATATGTCAGTATGCCTGTGTGTGTGTGTGTGTGTGTGTGTGTATATGTCAGTATGCCTGTGTGTGTGTGTGTCAATGTGTCTGTCAGTATATGTGTCTGTGTGTTTTAGTATATCTGTCAGTGTATGTGTTTGTGTGTGTGGCAGTATATCTGTTAATGTATGTGTCTGTGTATGTATGTATGTATGTATGTATGTCTGTGTGTGTGTCAGTATGTCTGCCAGTATATATTTGTGTGTAGTGACTGTGTGTGTCAGTATGTATCTGTGAATGTTTTAATGTCTGTCTGTGTGTGTATGTGCCAGTACGTCTGTCATTGTGATTGCGGGTTGGACGTAATTGGGGGGTGAGGCAGTGGCAGGGACAGGGCCCATGGGGCCCAAGAAAATGCATTGCCCAGGGTCCTAATCATATTATAGACGGCCCTGGGCTCTGATGCTCACTGGTGCTCCGGTGATGTGCTTCCACTGGGTTGACATTCACAGTAACCAGCCCGCAACTCTAATTTTGGGCTGGTTAATGACACGTCTGTAACGCTGTCAGAGGTGGAGTTGCACCTCTGTCAGCAGAGTGGGTTAATCTCTGTATGTGCAGTGTTTCATGGCGAAACACTGCACATACTCCAAGCACCATAACCACTTCAAATCAATAACGTGATCATCGTGCTTAGAGTAACCCTTTAACTAGGGAGTACAAATATAAAATTTTCAAGTTTGTTTGCAACTATTGCATCTCATTAAAGTTTGTATGATGCCTGGACCCACCTAGCACCATCCCAATATTTAATGTTAAACCATTTTTTTAACAGTTTAACACTGAATTAGGGTCCCTGACTGCTGGTAGCCTGGCCATCAATGGAGATATGGCTAAGTTGGATTTACACTCTGCCTTAGAAATGTCAGCTTATACCACAGATGGGCAGCTGTGATAGACTGAGGGCATCAGCGCACTGCTCTCACCGTACCAGCGTGGGCAGCAGAGAGGGGCCAGTCTACAGGCACCTGAAGACTCAGTGTTAAACTGTTTGAAAATTGTTGAATTGAAAACAGGGAGATGGGACAGGGATTCTACTCCAGGCAAAGAGATGAAGTGGTGATGGTGTCTAGTGTTCCTTTAACTCAGCACCACTTATCTGACTCAAACTTGGAAAGCTATACTGACCCTGCTGGGAAATTATCCAGCAATCCTGAGGTTTGTACAGGATTTGAATAAGGGTGCATTTAAACTAAAAAGGGCACAAAAATGTTCCTCACCTAGGGGTTCTTTAAATCGAAACACTGGTCAATATTTCTCTATATAATACATTCCAGAAACCCAGATGGATACATCATCTTACAATTTCGATTTGTCTTCTTTCATCTAGTGTAACCTAATTTTTGATTTAATCCTTGCTGTTTTCCTGTCATGTTAAAAGGGTGCTATGGTTACGTAAATCCTTTTCTAAATTCCTTTATTGTATTATAATGTGGATAAAGATGCTCGGAGACTAATCCATGAATTGACTATTTTGTTTGGTCTCTCTTTCAGAGGGAATCGATCCTGAAAATGTTTTTTTTTTGCCATTAAACATATAATATTGTTACTTAGCCCACTGATAGCAGATTGAGAAGTTCTAGGTCTATGCTCTTAAAATATTTTTCTATGTGGCATAAGGGGTACGTGTTCTCCTATTAAAGTAAAACAGGAAAATTAAATCACCATCTGAATGTGATACCAGATAATTTGAGATTCCCTGGATCTAGAGGAGTAAGAATGAAATTGCTTCAACATGAACTGTATCACAAACCTTCTTGATTATTGAAGTAGGAAGTACCCAACATGAAAAGTAAAATGCAGGGGGAACTTTTACTTAATTTTACCCAGACACAATTATACAATTGAAGTTTCCACGAGCACCAAAATCAACAGGTACCAAACTCTATCAATAGTGACTTTGTTTAAACAGAGAGATTTCCCACAATATTTCGCACTGATATTTAAAGGAAAGCTATAGTATATTTAAAGGAACATGTATTCCTAAAACTATAGTGCTGGAGTGGTTGTTAAGGTGACAGGCCTCCCTTTCTGTGAAGTAAAAGGTATTTAAACTTACCCTTTTCACCCTCTCTGCACCAGTCTTGCCGCAGCAGGCCACACCTCTGTGGCTGAGATCATCAATCTGGGTGATCTCAGCCAATCAAATCCACTGGGAGACTTTTGCAAATCCCCAGCAACACACTACACCAATTAGCATCTCCTTATAGAGATGCAATGAATCAGTGCCTCTCTAGGGGGGGAGCATACGGCGACGCCGAACGTGGGTGCTACACGCTGTGGAGGAAGCAGCTCTAGTGCCTGTCTGAGTGACAGCCACAAGGTCGTACTAGGTAGCCAAGTAAACACTGCCTTCTCTCTGGCATTTGATAGTAGGAATGTGCTTTTATGTAGTCTTTCCATTTGAGTGCTAGGATGAATGTAAATATACACATATGCAGTCGCACACAGTGACACAGATACACACTAACACACAGACACACACATGTACCCACACTAACATAAACAGATTGAAAGCTACACACTGTGGCACACACACAGATACAAACATATACCTACACAGACACACAAAGATAAACTCACATACCTACACATACACACACTGGAACCCAGAAACTGGCACACAAAGATACACACAATTATGTGCACATACACACACACATACATACACACACCACACAGATATACAAAGACACAAATTGCAATTTACATAATGTTAATCAACCCAATGTTTCAATACCTTTTGGGTGCATGGAGGTAAATTTGTGGGGCAGGCTTATGCTGATGGGAGTCTGAGGCTGTCCAGGCTGTCTGTCTGGAGTGAAAGTGACAGGTCCCAGCAATCTCTGCAGATATTAAAGGGGCCCACTCATGCTGTCAAAAAGCCCGCAGCACCCGACTGGGCCCCTGATAAGATCTACCTGTCTGTCGGGTTTCCCCTAAGTGTATGGGCTACCTGATGGGCCCCCAACCCCTGCGAGTCCACTACCTGTAATATGCAGTCAATGCAAGATCCAATGTCAGTCTCTGTAATTTTATCATATGTATAGTATTTCAAAGGCATGCTAAGGGGAACTGGACTAGATAATGTTCCGCTCACGCTGATCTCTTATTGGCTGAGCTTCACATGTACATTGCATACTTCCAATCAGTAAGAAATTTTGTGAAAAGGGAAGGAGTAACTAAGGAGGCAGGGTTATTCTTCAAAAAGCTTGACAACTTCATTTATTCATTCATATATTTTATGAGATTTAAAAGTAGACAAAGTACAGTACAAATGTGAGGCTAAAACCTATGAAATGCACCTAAATTGTTTTAGTGTCCAAAGTGTACCTTTAAGTTCATTTTATATAAGTTTTCATTTCACATTTGGATACATTAAAATACATAGGTAGAATTAATTAAGCATCTCGATTTTTAATTGTGTTAATCCTAAAAGGCTGTATTTTTCAGCATACATGGGACCCCCATGGGTTTTTCCTCAGCTATGTATGTTCTTGTGACTGTGAATCATAATCTGTATTACAGCTAGACATAATGCTGGCAAAGCACCTGGGGAAATGTAGTCCCCAACATTTTGAGTTGCCTACCTCTGCCATACATTAATAGACACATTAAAATGACCCAAATATCAGTTTATTTTCCTCCTGAATACTGTTTAAAAGCGAGTACAAACATAGAAATTTGATTTAGGGATATTTGCCACTGCTGCTAATTGTGTCACATCTGCTTTCAAGTTTTAATAATTCCAGTTGTTCTGACTGTATAAAGACTGATGTCCTGCGATGCTATGAGACTTACCTTGAACGACGTAGCTGATTCCGGGTTGGGCAGAACTAAGGGAGATATCAGGATGACACCTGAGAAGTCGACAGATCTCTCACTGGCCATGAGGATGGATATGGCACCTCCCTGAGAAACACAAGGCAACAATATTTCTCATTACCCATAACGTTTCAGTACATTCAGCACTAATTAACTGGAAACTCTATTTTTAACTTACATTGTGGGTTTACTTCAGTATTACTTATAGCACGAATGAGGTTCCTTAGGTATGTTTCAAACCACATTCTTGAGTAGCAGTAACAGGCCATTGTTTTGTTTTTTTGGTTATCAGCAAGTTATGTGATGCAGAATATTGCAAATTTAATTGAATACCCTCTTCAATTAAGTAAATTATCTTATCTAAATAAAATAAAACAAAAAATGGTACCTGCACACCATCCCAAATATCCCAATAAACCTTTTAAATAGCACAGTTTTCGGAACCAATTCCATGGACATAAAAGTGTAAGCTCACCTGGCAACACCAGGGCAAACCTCTAAGCTATTTATTTAATAAACCCTTGTCCCTTACCATGGAGTGTCCACAGAGAAAGATTGGCAGGTTGGGGTGCTCCTTCTTCATGAGGTCCAAATGCTGCAGGCCATCCCTGACATAAATGTGGAAATCAGATACCGTCATCCTCTCTCCTTCACTCTGACCATGGCCAACTGTGAAGATAATATATAATAAAGGCTCTATTAGTTCCTTAGATATAAAGGATTACAAGCAATCAATAAGGAAACTGCATCATGAAAAATAAGACTCTGTATTAATACACCTTAATAACAGGCAATATACAATATTGTTAAAATACAGTAAACACCATTGTTTTCAAGGAATTAATGTAGCCTTCAGAATTTATGGCGGGAGCACCTATAATTCCATGTAGCTACCTGTGATGGTAGTCACCATCACTGGGAGTATATATCACTTTTTGCAGATCCCTGGATGATTCTTGTTTAACTCACGCTGTGCCCATTATAGGTGCAGGGTGTGTATTGTAATATTATTTGAAGAATGCCTTGAGTTATCCTCTGTCTGGCTCTGAGGCCTGCGCAGCACCACTTGTCAGTGCAACAGTTGCACTACCGGAATAGCAAGGCTTGTTAATTTGCATATTCAGGTAGATTTGCACATTATGGTTTATACAGGCAAGGGACTATTTTTTGTTAGTCTTTGTCTTCACCAAACCTTTATAAATATTGTATTGTATTATTATGAAGCAGCACAGGACATGATTTGTGTGCCGTGACAAGCATCTTCTAACCCTAGGACAATGGTTCACATTCCAGAGGGATTTACAAATGTCATTCCTGGGAGAGAAGCCACAAGATCAAAGGGTGTCCCGATTGGAGCTGCTGGTCCAGATGAAGATAGAGCTGGATGACAGGTAGAAAGCTCTGCAGTGATATGCATAGCAAGAATATTTATATGTTATGAGTGACTGTTCCTCTGAGGGCTATGACTTTGGCGACCCTTGATTATTATGATAAAGCATCCATGAGGACACTGAATTTGGACATGATGAGGATTCTTATTTCCGGGACATTAAAGAGCCCTGAGGTTATGTTGAACATCTCAGATGTACCAGAACTGGGACACGATTCTGGAATATCTAGTCATCAGAGAATGGAAACCCTATAGGAAGCTGCGCAATACTGTTCAGCATCATTCCCCATGGACTAAGGATCAAATGGATGCAACCACAGCTAAAGAGCTGGCATCAGGACAAAGTACTGCTGGCCTCTGCTTCCACCTTGCTTTTGTTGGTTCAGTCGTGGAGGAGAACTCTACATTGGTGGTTGAGCCCGAGGATCTAATCACACCCACTGCTGCAGCACTGGCATCGGACAAGTAAAGTGGGCCTTGGCCCTCACCTTGCTGTTGTTCCAGCAGTCATGGGAGTGGAGGAGACCTCTGCATCGGTTGATGAGCCCGAAGGGCTCACTGCACATTCAGCTAAAGCGCGGGCATCGGGACAGAGCACCACTCGCCTCTGCTTTCCCTATTAGTCTTTTCCTTTGCTTACTCCATCTAGCAGGAGCTCTGTAAGGTTCTGGACTCACTTACTCGGTGCTTACTTACTAGGTGCTCTTGACAAGGTTTAGATTAGCAATTGGAGTCCTAATGATCGTCAGAAGGACCAAATGATTATCTTTCTTGCCTACTCAAGAAGATTCATGAAGGAGTGTTCCATCCATGGGATATTGGGTTCTAGGTAGCTTCAGGATGGATATATGCCCAAAACCACTGGATTAATATTAATGGACTCTTGGTGTCCTGGGAGGGATATCAGCAATTTGGATACTATGGATAGTAAGGTATCACCTCCAGTACCCTCATCTATTTACTTTGAACTTTCTCAGCGACAAATCCTGTAATCACCCAACTGTTGGCTCACAGCATCCCACATCCAGGAGGACAAGGAATACTTGAAGGAGCTGTTGAATTACCAACCTTATCAAGATTCTTGGAGAGCTCACTACAATGGCTGAAAATCCTGGAAATATATGGCAAGCATGGACAATTAAAATATAAATATCTTTTGCTTCAATATTATTATTTTTGTATTTTTAAAATACATTATTTATATTATGCATTTAAAACAGAGGTAATTTCCAGCCTGCTGTATCTGTTTTAAAGGTCAGGGCATACTAGTAGTACCTTATTTCTTTAATAAAATAAAAAATAAACTTCAATTGACCTTCAGAAAGCAAGTTTCTGTGCCCTTTCTTGCATGCAGTGCATGTAATACATTTCAAGGGTCCTTTCAAAAAAAGAATGATTCATCCCTCTGTACAACAATTAAAGTGAGATATAAAAAGATCAGCAAAGTAATAAAAACAACCCTTTTTAAATTAAAGGTAATTAAGATATCTTGTTGAAGCTGAAAAGGCTTCTGTTCTTCAGCATATTAATTATCATATGAAATAGGCAGTTCTACATTCCCCAATTAACTGCTTGAATGCTAGAGGACAGCCAATAGAAGCTTGGTTAAAAATATATACTTTGTTCCTTCTTACTCTGCAGTTTTTTATTGTTCAGTACAGTGTTACTTGTTATGTGTTTATTAGCTCATAATTGTACACTATTGATGAGATTTACCGCCCTTGGTCCTGCTGACCAGTCTGTAGTATACCTGCTCTACCAATTATTATAACTATTTGACTTTTCTTAAGTTTATAACCCCTATGTTTAAAAAAAAAAAATTAAAAAAAATAACACAGACATTTGGGTGTAACATTCTGTAATACAATATATATGCTGCTATTGTGCTCTTTTGTCTGTTTTTAAATATAAAAAAACAATTAAAAACGTTGTTGAATCATATAAACTACTATTTATCTGCTAAAAACTGTTTAGGACAAAATGTACTTTGTAACTTTTATTGCAGAAAAGAAAAATGCAAACAAAATAAATCCCTTATTCGCTGGTGTTTTTTTTAACCCTTACTAAATGAAATATGGTTTGGGCATTGACCTTTAATGCACTTTAGAGGGTGAGGTGCTGTAAAAGATGCATGTCTAGCAATCCTGCAGAGATAAAGGGTTTTATTAAGAGCTTTATCTGTTTATCATTTTTATGAAAGTTCTGACAAGTTTTCATCAGAAAATATTCAGTGAAATATCTTACACCTGTATAATCTATAATGCGCAGCAATTAGTACTTGTTAGTTAATATCAAGACGCCCACTCACGACTCTGTTTGTAAATTAACCTGAAGGGAAAAGCAGCAGATTTTAAGGCAAAACTTTCTTATAACTGGAAAAACAACACATAAAAATCTTGACTATAATCTTAAACTATCCTCAAATGTACATGAATAAAGGACACTAATGGATAAAATATTCTTGGGAATATTAAAATGGCACTGGAAGCTGGCACAAGTGTTATCATGCTTAAAAAAAAGAATACAAATGAAAAAGAACTCATTAAGAAGAGAATGGGAAGATCAGGACTGACTGTAAAAAAATAAAAGTAACCAGTCATGTTCTCTGTGAATAAGGGAAAGTAATGGGCAGTGCCTTTTTTATGATGTCAGCTACAGAATATAAAAAGTTACTTAAATGGGAGGGGCATCAAATGCCCTGCAAGCATGATTCATCGTTTCATTGTACAAATATTGCCACACAATGTGATGTGTGTAGGCGTAGCAGATACAGGGAGAAGTTACCCATTAGAGGGTTTCTGATTGGTTATAGCATTGCCAGAGTTAATATGATAGTGTGTAGCTAGAGCAGGGGTTCCAAATTTATTTTTCCCGTGGAACCCTTTCACATAGTTTATCAGCATTGTGGAACTAATGCTATAGTCTTATTTTAAATACAGTCCTATTAACACCCTACTAACATCATTAAAATACTCTTGTGATTCCATTCATGACCCAACACACCTGACCACCATCCAAGCGACCAACCAATCATACTTATAGTTTATAACTATGTTTACTAATAATGCTATTAAAATAGTTCTTATACCAAGGGGATGTGTCCTGGAGTGGACGGAGAACAGTTGCATGTGCTGCTAGCTCCGTGAAAAATCGGCCCTTAGGCAATAATTAAGCCTCAAAATTCGGCACTTCCAGGCCTATACAGAATATCCCCCCACAAAGGAAAACGGAATGCGGACAAAACAGACAAACATAACTTGTTCTGAGTCAAATCCAGCTACTCAAGACCGGCAAATCCAGCTACCCAAGATGGCGGCGATACTGACCAAGAGCTAACACAGAGGCCTCCCTCTCCAAGCACACCACTCACCAGTGAAATGCTGCAAAACTTGCTGGATACGATGGCAGCTAAACTACAAAGCAATCTCCAGCAGTCCTTCTGCTACCTCCGCAGCGATATCCAGGAACTGGGTAGCCGCACCTCCACGCTCAAAATGGCAAAACTCGCGAAAGTCCACAACGCTCTGACTTCTGAGGTGCAAGAGCTGAGAGCTCAGTTAGACAGCTATAAATCCAAACTGGCAGACATCGAGGAACGGTCACGGTGAGTTAACCTCTGGGTCAGGGGGGTACCTGAGGAGATAGGAGCACAAGAGCTCCAAGCTTATATCACAGAATTATTTCATATAATAGCCCCCGAGGTACCCCAAGACATGCTGCTCATGGACCGTATACACTGGGTTGCCAAACCATCATTCCTACCGCAAGATCTACCAAGGGATATCATCTTAAAGATGCATCATTATCACATAAAAGAAATAGTCCTAAAATCCAGCAGGACGAAGATGGATCTACCCCCCAAATACCGCACGGCTAAGATTTTCGCAGACATTTCAGCTCCCATCCTGAGGAAGAGAAAGACTTTCACTCCCATCACTAGCATTCTGCAAGATCAGCACATTATGTACAGGTGGGGGTTCCCTACAAAACTAATAATTCAGCGTAATGGCAAAACTTCCTCAATCAACACACTGTACAAACAGAACATACAACAACATGCCCTAAACAAAGTGGGATTCAATATACGAAAGATGAAAGCCACACAATACTCACAAAGGAACAAAGCGGGGAAACTCATAGCTAACAGACTCAAACAAAAACAAGCCAACCAAGCTATCGCGCACTTAACATCGCGGACTGGCCACAAGCTCATGTCCCCGAAGGACATAAGTGACGAGTGCTCAGCAAACTAGTCGGACCTCTATAACCTACATCGAGACCCGAACACCCATCCACCTACGGGGGAAGACATTACACATTACTTAGACACCATACAACTATCGCAATTATTCCACCAACACAAATCTGACCTAGCGGCGTCAATAACAGAGACAGAGGTCAAACTTACTATGCTATTGCTACCCGCAGGCAAATCGCCTGGACCAGACAGGTTTGCTAACTCCTACTATAAAAAATTTTGAGACGACTTAGCCCCGCAGCTGACTAAGCAGGAGCCATAACCTCCCACTCACTCCCACCTGAGATCCTGTTAGCACATATAGTCACACTGGCGAAACCAGGCAAATCGCCCACAAGCCTGCAGAATTTCAGACCGATTTCCCTCCTAAACACAGACACCAATAGATGTCCTACACGTTCTACGCAACACCAAATGTAAGGGTTTATTGCTATCACTGGACGCGGAGAAGGCCTTCGACCGTCTGAGCTGGGGGTTCATGGATGCAGTGCTGAGAAAGATTGGTGCTCCGGGGACCTTTCTCTCGGCGGTCAGAGCGCTTTATGCGGACCCAGTGGCACAAGTACTCAACGTAGGGTTCCTATCCACCCGGTTTAGTATTACAAATGGAACCCGTCAAGGCTGCCCACTTTCACAGCTCCTTTACGTGCTAGCACTAGAACCCTTGTCGAACAGTGGAAGGAGGTGTGGTGTATCACCAAACTCTATAAATTGCACAAAAGCGAACCTCTGCGAACTCATTCGGAAACTACAATATCGTTGGTAACTGGTCCCGGACAGGTTGGCGCACATATTTCTGGGCACCTCCAACACTTGTTGGAGATGTGGAGGTGAGACAGGCACTATGTATCATGTTTGGTGGACATGCCCCATCATACGACAATACTGGGACATGGATGGTACAATAGTGACCCAAACCACGCCTCGAAGCATGCCTCTGACACTGGAGATGTGTCTACTCTTCATGGAACAGAAACCTATACCACGAATAGAACGCAAACTCCTATTCCACATCTTGATAGCAGCTAACACATTGATCACTAGACAGTGGAAAACAAAAAATGCACCTTCAAAGGAGGAACTACTAAGCAAAATAACAGTGAACTCGGCCTACGAAAGCACGGCAAACGCACAAATTAGAGCAGACACCGACACACAAAGGGCAGTAGACTTATGGACCCAAAGATGGGCCACCATGAACAACTTAAGCAGCAATACCAACCTTCCTGCCCTCCCCATAGCAACAGGGAATGATTAACATCCTCACGAAGGAGGAGTACAGGTTAAACTGTACATAACGCTTGAACAAACCCAACCAGGTCTCACGCAACCCGTTATTGAACATATCTGCAACCAACTTTACCCCGAGTACTGAATACCCCATCTGCGCCCACACTATGATCCATCTGGCACTTACCTGCACTTTTACCACATGCTCTCTTGCCTTAATACTTAACACCACCGCCAATGAAGGAAAATTATGATCTAATGGCAGCTACTAGGCATGAAGAGCTCACCCCACTCGCAGGCTCGGGTGTGGTATATATACAACACACGGGCACTGAATAGCAGTTGCAGGTCAGAGTACACAAGTTGCACGATACCTGCTCACACACCGGTTCTTCTTTGTTCCCTAGTATATCTGGTTACCCCCTTCCCCCCTCTGGGGAGTCCACTAGCCATGATATATCTGTACTGTACCAACTTGCGTTAAAACACAGGGGTCTCTACACCTATAAGGACAGATGTCCCCTCTACAAGCATGGTCTCGAGCTACCCAAACACAAGAGTATATAAAAAACACAGGGCTAGATAGACACAATGATCCAAAAACACAACCAAGCCACACTATTCTAATTTACCAAGGATGGAACCACATCATAAAGCCAACAAGGAGAGGGGCCACTAAATGTAGCTCCCAAACAAAGAGGAGTGTCTAAACCCAAAGAGTAGAGGGAATAGGCAATTGCAAACGAATATAATGTGCTGTCTGATAAGTAATACATCTGTCCTACTTGGACCTCCAGGGTTGGAGCCCACGTGTATGGTACCTGAATACAATGCCAATTGTTCCCCATTAACCACTCCCCTTTCTTTTTTGCACCCCATGAATATTTGGAAAACAATAAAAATTGTCAAATAAAAAATAGTTCTTATACTCAGTGACCAGCACAACAAAACCACCGCCTTACAGGCAAACAACACAACTAGTCTTCGGGACGAGTGGCTATGTGCCACTAGTAGGGCACACTTCTACCAATGTTAGATATGAAGAAACTCTGCCCATAATATACAAATTAACAAAACACTGTAGTGTACAGCCACCCCTACATACCCCTACACAACAGCAGTTCTACACCGGTATATGTGGGACTTAGAAGGTGACCACGATGCAAATGTACTGTATTATATTTAAAATGTAATTGTTGACCACACTGTCATTTGTAACCGCTTTGTTTAAACAATAAAAGACGGAAAAAAACAATAGTTCTTATATTTAGAAATATTATTTTAAAAGAATGCTAAATGACTAAGTAAAAAATAAATAAACATAGATGAAAGCGATATGACCTTGATAAGACCAAATATTTGTTGCTGGTCAAACATAAGACAGTCTGCTTTTAATTAACTATCATTTGCAATTTTGCAGGTAATATAACATGAATGGTTTGATGATATTTTGGTTGCCTTTTACCTACACCTGTCTGTTGTACAATACGCTTGTGTCTACTATATTTTGGAATAAAAAGTTATTACAGCAAGAATTTGCTATCAGCCTATCAACTTCTGCTCTTTTTTTATGAAAGTTTTGACAAGTCATTGTAAATATGCAGTGAAATATATTACACCCACATTATCTGTACTCTGCAACAAATTAGCACTTGTTAAATTAATATCACAACACTGGTTTGGAGACTAGGTTACAAATTAAAAAGTAAAAACATATGTATTGCAAATTTTACTGAAAACTTTTTTGAAACTGGAAGTAAAACTGATTTGTTTTTGTTACTCATGGGGCTTGAGTAAGCCAGAAAGATTCTCCTGTGTTCCTGCATACTCTCACTGAATTGTGGGTAATCCATAAATATGGGAATACTTGAAATGCCAAACGATTTACCACTAACCCACCACTTAAAGGGACTCTCCAGTACCAGGAAAACAAATCTGTTTTCAGTGTCCCCTTCCCGTCCACCCCCCATCCCATGTTGCTGAAAAGGTTAAAACCCCTTCAGTGACTTACCGGAATCTAGTGCCAATGTCCCTCGGCGCTGGGTTAGGATCCGCCCACGCCCCCCCTCCGACGTCAGCCAGCGGGGGAGACCTAATGCGCATGCGTGGCAATGGCCGCGCATGCATTAGACCTCGCCATAGAAAAAAAGCATCATTCAATGCTTTCCTGTGGAGTTTGCAGTGACGTGTCCAGCGTCATTTAAAACACTTTTGTGTTTTAAGAACCGGGAAGTCCCTCTAGTGGCTGTCTGATAGGCAGCCACTAGAGGAGGACTTAATCCTGCAAGGTAATTATTGCAGTTTATAAAAACTGTAATAATTACACTTGCAGGGTTAAGGGTGATGGGAGCTGGCACCCAGACCACTTCAATGGGCAGAAGTGGTCTGGGTGCCTGGAGTGTCCCTTTAACCTATTGCACCAAACAGCTGAGGTCTGTAGAAGAAGATTTTGCAATAGGGCAAAAAAGAGACAAACGTGATAACAGGAATAGATAGTGAACATGGTTCTCCCCCAGTGGGCTTACAGTCCATAGAAGGCATCTTACAAGATTAAGAACATGTTGAAAAGCGAGATCTCCAGGCATATAGCTTGTATCTAGTTAAACAAATGAATGAAGACGTGTAGGAAAATTGTAGACTGTAAATGTAAGGAGAGTACACAGCCTATGATATAAGCTTAGTAGTACTGTATAAAGATATGTGAGCTGGGGAGCTCACTCTAGAGCTCACTATAGAAGCTGCAAAGGAAAGGGACTGTAGCAAATTCAGGAACTCCAAATATGTAGCCTCTAATAAAAACTGGCAAGGTATAGATATATTGAGCAAAGAATTCATCCATAACCCTGAGCTAGACATACCCCACTCCGGATCCTTGTAAAAGTATATGTTTTAGGAAAAATCAATCATAGTATAAAAGGTAAATACGTCAAACCAGATCAAAGGATGAGTTATATAATCTGCAACTACTCAAATGCGCAGTTTTATAAATGTTTAAAAAAAACACAAAAACCCCATCTATTACTGTGAAATAGCAAATATGTAATCATGAAATGGTTCCACTTGCTCCAGTACTAATCTACCGTATGTAACAATTCTAAATCTTTACCTCTGTCATATTAACATCGCTGAGACTCGTACACTTTGCAATTAATTTTCTGTTGATGGATTATATTAAAAAAAAAGTTAAAATTAAAGATCCATCTGCTGCAGGAGATACTTTGCATTAATTACACGGCAGCTGTTTATGGAAACCGACCTGAAATTTTTTCCGTTCCACCCCCTCTACCCAAGGCGTATTTAACCAGTGATATGCCATTCCATGTCACACCTGAAAAGTGATTTTCCAGAATGAACACATTATCATCTGAACTGTTTTTTTTTTCTGGGTACATGTGTCGGATATGTTATCATTAGTGATGACACATGGGCCTTGATTTAATATTGTTGAATAACAATAACAAATAATTTAATATTTTTGGTTAAACTGTTAAAATGATTAAATATTTTTATATATTGATATTTTATATATATGGTATATGGTATATTTTCTAAAAATTTACATTTTGTAAAAATAATTTTAAAAGTTTTCCAAAAATATTACATTCTTTGAAAAGCTTATCCAAAAATATTATATTGGGTAATTATTGTGAGAGGCTGATCCAGGGGTCTTGGTAAATATTAATACCAAAGAAAAAGTGAGTGAGAACTGGAAGAAATTAGAATGCCAAGAGATACCACCTATGACACCTAATAAGACAGCCGCATGAGATCAGGGAGGTCAATGTGTGGATGAAATCTTGATGTAGAGAAGGATTTAGGTATTAAGAACACAAAAGAGATTGCATACTTGGGTACTTTCCCACCCGGAAACCCAGAGACGTAACTAGAAACCACGGGACTCCGGTGCCACGTCTACCCTCCCCCTCGTTCCCCCCACAAACATACATACATACAGACAGACTTACACACACACACATACATATAAACGAACATACATACATACAGACGAATAGACAGACATACATATAGACACACATACATACAGAAACACATTTATACAAACACATACATACATACACACACAGGAACACATACATACCGACACACAGAGACATACACACATACATACTGACACATACATACAAACACACACACATACATACAAACAAACACATACACAGACACATACAAACAGACACACCTACAAAATGTTTTAGTCACCCTCCTGTTTCCAACCTTTTAGTTGCAGGAGGGTGACTTTCCCTGGGCTCCAGTGGCTCGGCCAGATGGGAGTCAGAGTTCCCACTCTGACTCCTTCCTCCCGCGCGTCTCTCTGTGATTGCTGGGATGAAGTGACCAGGACTGTCACTTTCTCCCAGCACTGATGTCATGTCCGGTTGCACTGCTAAGCCCCGCAGTGCTGACCGGGCACCCTGGGAATACATTGCCATCGGGTGGCCCTAACAGCATGAGCCACCCGATGGGCCATTTCAATGTGGCCCTGGCGGTAATACCGCGCGGGCCGGGGCCGTTGTACTTAACCAGCGGACACCGCTGTCGCAGGGGTCCACAGGGCAGCCAGGCCCCCTGGAGTGACGGGCCCGGTCACAGCTGCAACCCGTGCAACCGCGGTAGTTCCGCCACTGCTGAAGCTGTTCTTGTGTGTCAATTGTTTGTGGCAGGGAAGTTCCAATGCGATCATCATATTTGTGTATACAAAGGTGTCTGTTACTGGTTTTAACATTTTCAAATATATCATATATATAAAAAGAATATATATACAATATTATAATAAAAAATTTAATATTTTTTTATAATATTAAATCATTTAAAAAGCGTATCCAACATGCATACTATTTCATTGAGGCTAAAATAGCCTATTTGATCAGCCACAATATAAAACAACTTGCCTAATAACGCTTAGGTCCCCATTGTGCTGTCAAAACAGCTCCAATGCATCCAGGCATGGACACCACAAGACTTTGAATGTGTCCTGTTGTATCTAACACCAAGATAATAGCAACAGGTCCTTTACCTTCTGCAAGTTGCATGGTGGGGCCTCCATGGATCAGATTTGTTGTTACAGCACGTCCCATGGATTAATATATGGGGAATTTAGAAGCTAAGACAACACTTTGAACTCTCTGTCATATTCCTCAAATCATTGCTGAACAATTTCTGCAGTGTGGCAAGGTACATTATCCTGCTGAAAGAAGCGACTACCATCAGGAAACACCAATGCCATGAGGGAGTTTACATGGTCTGCAACAATCTCTAAATAGGTGGAACCTGTCCAAGTAATACTGCCTCCGCTGGCCTGTCTTCTTCTCATAGTACATCCAGCTGTCATGTCTTTTAAAGGTAAATGATTCACTGGCACCCAGCCATCAATCTGATCTAAAAGAAAACGTGATTAATCAGACCAGGCCACTTTCTTCCATTGCTCCATGGTCTAGTTCTGGTGCTTATTTCCACTGAAGGCGCTTTCGGTGGTGGACAGGAGTAATCACGGGCTTTCTGATTGGTCTGCAGCTACACAGCGAATTGTGAAATTGTGATGCACTGTGTGTTCTGACACCTTTCTATCGTGGCCATCATTACGTTGTTTCAGCAATTTGAGCTACAGTAGCTCTTCTGTGTGAACAGATGAGACGGGCTAGCCTATGCTCCCTGCATTTAACAATGTGACTTGGGCAACCATGACTCTGACATCTTTTCACAGATTGTCCTTCTTTGTACAACTTTTGGGAGGTACTAACCACTGCATACGGGGAACACCCCACAAGGCTGAATAAAGAGTGAATAAATGTCAAATGACTATTTTTTGCATTTTTATGTTGGGGATAAATATTCAAATCACAGTAGATGATAAACAGTTATATGAAAATTAAAAGCCCGCTTTGCAACATATGCCATTCCAGACATCATGTTCACAGTTAGGGTTTTCTTCTAAAAAGTTGTTAAATTTCAGAGAATGCTGAAAATTTAAACATCACCCTTCATCTCCCGGTTAGCCACAGAGGAACAGGAAATCAGAGTCTGCAGTAACTGCAAAGCAACGCATGTGAAAGGAAAAAGAAATAGGAAGAAATACAAAACCAGCATCACTGAACCTTATAGAGTAAACTAGGGCCAGAGATCAGAGGCTTGTGAGCAGACAAGCAAAGTCCATTGAGTGGATATATAATAAAAACCCATATTTAAAGGACCGCTAAAGGCACCTCATCTCAATGAAGTGGTCTGGGTGCCGTTTTACTGAAACTGCAATGTTTCCATTGCAGGATTAACATTTTCCAGACTGCCACTAGATGCTCCACCACAGTAAGGAC